ACAGTCTCTGTAACTTTAATGCTGTCACAGGCACAGCCAAAGACATGCTTTATTGGTCGCCTAGGCATTTATTAATTCATTCAAGTTGGCAATAATGATTATCCATCACATGTGTATTACAGACGCTCAGGGGAAAGACACTGTGCCCCTGCAGTGAGGAGTTTGTTCGGCAGAAGGCTTTCTAGGAAAAGGTTGGTTGCTCTGATAGGTGTACTTTATCAGAGCAATGATTTTAGAACTGCCAACTGTAACAGGAATCATTACTGTAACAACTGTAACAGAAATCATGGTGCTAAAGTGTGTGAGGGAGCCATAGCATAACTGCTGTGGCCTCTGAAAAGAGGGGCAAATTCCTGGGCTCTCGCCAGCTCAGGCTCCTGGGATGAAGCAATGGTTCGTTTTGGTTTGGTTATTTGAGAAGTGGTGGTATGTAGAACAAAGAGATGGTGGAACCATATACTAACTCCCCAGACTTTATCCTAAAGAAAGCAGCATGTGAAGCTGGAGATGTGGTTTAGTGTTAAGAGCACTGACTGCTCATTCAGAGAACCAAGGTTCAGTTCTCGGCCTCTCACAGCTGTCTATAACTCCAGTTTCAAGGGAAGTGACAGTCTCTTCTGGCATCTGCAGATACTAGGGAAGACCATACAGGCAAAATGCCCATACACATAAAATAAAATAATTAAAAAATAAAATAGGTAGCACATGCCACTTGTAGCCATATTAATTTGCTATTGTCTGGTTAGCCCCACATAGAAGAATGAAACTAGACTCTCATCTCTCACCAGGCACAAAATTCAGTTCCAGATGTGTCAATAACCTTAATGCAAAACTCTGAAACTCTAAAACTGCTAGAGGAAAATACAGGAAAAATATTTCAAAAGATAGGAATGGGCAAAATCTTTCTGAAAAAGACTACAATAGCTCAGGAAATTATCCCAAGAATTAACATACATGAGTGCAGGAGTGTACGCAAGGAAGAATTCCTTGAAGAGCAAAGGGAGGGAGCTCCAGTCCACAGAGAGAAGAGACTCCCGGCAGAGTGGGGGGGGGGAACCACCTAACAGAGGATTGATATCTAGATAACTAAATATGTAAAGAACTATAAGAATTAAAGATTTCAACAAATGGACTCAAGAAGTGTCCAGAAAGCTCTTAAAGGAAGAAACACAAATTTAAGAAAGTGTTCTGCCTCCTTAACTACCAGGGAAATGCAAACTAAAGTTTTTGGAAATTCTATTTCATTATCAGAATGACTGTCCTCAAGAAAATAAATAACAAATGTAGGTGGAGAGTGGAGAAAGATGACACCCCCACCTCCAATGTGTGTGTGTGTGTTTGTGTGTGTGTGTGCAGGTGAACATGGAAGCCAGAGTTAACTCAGGGTGTCTGTCATCTATGTCGTACTCGGCCTGGAGCTTGTCAAGTGGGCTAGGCTGACTGGCCAGCAAGTCCTGCCGATCTTCCTGTCTTTGCTTCCCCAGTGCTGTGATACAGTTGCCCATTATTTTGTCTCTGTGGTCTTGGAGAGGAATACTCACACACTGTTGGTGAGGATAGTACACCCACTATGAAAGTAAGCATGGATACTCCTTGAAAAAAAATCTAAAAATAGAACTATCATATCATCCAGCTATACAAGTTCTGGGTATACACCAGAATGAATCAAAGCCAGCACACCACAGACATGCTTGCACCTGCAAGGTTATTGCTGCTCTATTCACAACACTCAGGAGATGGACCAGAATTGATGCCTACCAACAAATAAATGGATAGGGAAATATACGTCTACACAGTGGGATTTTTATGGAATTTTAGTCAAGTGTGAGGAAGAATGAAATTATGACTATAGGAAAATGGACAGAATTAGAGCATATTTTTATGCCATATAAACCAGACTCAGAAAGAAAAACATTTCCCATTTTCTCTTTTTTTGGGAAATACACACACACACACACACACACACACACACACACACACACACGAGACATGAAAGCAGAATATTAGAGAGAGGAAGAGGCTTGAGGGTGAGGAGCAGGAGCCAACAAGAGAACATAAGGGAATATATGTGGCATGAATGTAGAAGGGGAGAAGATTTGTGAGGTGGAAGAGGACCACCCAGGGGAGGAGGAGGGAAGGGGAGAGCTGTGGGAGCAGTGGGGTAATGCAACATGGAATGTACTCATGATATTTTAACAGGGAAACTGTAACTTCTTTAGGGCAGAAGTAGGTTTGATTCCGTTGGGGTCTTCCGCTGACATTGCTGCTGAAGATGCAGAATTAAAATCTACCTAGAGAGCATTTGTCATGGACAAGCTAGCTCTACTGTCAAAAGTAGTCTGAGAGGATAAGAAGCATGCAAGGTGAGAGAGTGACAGACATGACTACTCCAGGACCCAACCTCATCAAGCACTTAAGGAAGTCTTGATAGGGCAGGCAGAGCATAAGGAAGATTGATTGAGAGGACAGGAATATTGAGAAGCTCTGAGAAGGGACCCTACATTCTCTGCTCCTCTGACATCTAGTGGATGTCAGGGACCTGCACTTATATCAAATGGTACTTAGTGATACAGATTCCAGTGTTAAGAGATTGTTCTGCTGATATGGTTTGACCTCAGTTATAGAAACACTAAATGTGAGCAAAGGAAGACAATTCAAAGGCTCAAATATGATTTTAGCTTAAGAGAGACACAAAGTCAGTAGAAACTTCCATTCCTAATATGAAGCAGGGATATTTTTAGATTCTGATGTTGGGTTTGGATGTGCTTGTTCTATTTTGTCAATTAAAGAATTGGCCTATATCTTTGATCTGTGTTTAGACTTTCTGATGACAGAACTTTATAATAACTCAAAGTAGAAATGCCATCTTTGGTGGTAATATAGCAGGGGACCTGTGGAGAGGTCTTAAGGTGTTAATAATTAGCAGCATGTGAAGCACACAGTCTCAAAGCAATTAAGGATGGTAATTGAATATTTGCTTGCAGAGCAAAACGGCTTATGTGTAGCCTAAGTGACTGTTTTCCTTGCTTATAGGAGTTACATTATACAAATAAGGTTGAAAGTCCAGAAAGAAAAATATGAGCTAAACAAATGCTTGTCTTACAGGCAACCACACTTTTGAATAGCAATGCCTTGTGGCTATATGTGACACTATTGGCTACAAACCTCAATAGAAACAATTAATCTTTCAGTCTATCCCTAGTAAATATGACACACCACTTACTCATGAAAAACTTGTCATGGACACTCTGATGTCATTTGATTTGGTAAACACTTCCATGTTCATGCACTTTAAATCAACCAGTGGTCACACAATGGCCACAATATTACATCTGTGTTCATTTGAGGGCATAGGGGAATAGTAATGCTGAATTCAGAATGGCCCAGAGATTTTATTATAGAGGTCCTCTACAGCCTTTGCATGGACTTCATCAGCTATGACGTTTGATTAATATGAAACACACACACACACACACACACACACACACACACGAAACTCAAAGCAAACCTAGCCTTGTGAAAAAGTTTTCTAGTAAAGTGTAAAAGAAATGCAAAATTCATTTTAGAAGACTATCTATAGGATTTTTTTTTTCTGTCAGTGCTTATGGTAGAGTGGCTACTCTGGCCTGCCAAGATACAATGTCACTAACTATGCAGGAAGGGAGAGAATCAAGTTGACTTCAGTCCTCTGGATGAGGAAGACAGCTCCACAGCCTCTGTGGTGAGGAAAAGAAATGACATACCCTTGAAATCCACAGGCTATGTGGTGTTTCTCTCCAGACAGTGGTGGAGTAGGTCAACTGATGTTTTTCTCTTTAGCCCCATCCACTTCCTGAAGACATGTAATATATTGTGATGTGATTTTTTTTTTTTTAAATTAAGGCCCCAGTAGGCAGTAAAGGATAGCAACCCAGTACCTTAACGTTTCCCAAGTAATCAATCACCTTTGAACTGTTTGAGGAACTACCAGGCATCCATTAATCTCACAGACATTTTGGAGTGTGCACGGGCTATGTGAAAGGTAAATCTTACTGCAGGTCTGAATCCTAGCTTACTATGCAAATAAATCTCCTATCAACGTGGAGTAAAGGAGCTTAGGGGTTACTGAACAGGTCTGAACACTGGGATGAAGCATGAGCCTGAGGTTAGGAAACGTTTCAGGGGTAATGACTTGACCTCTTTGGATCGGGGAAAGTTCCTGTTTGTTTCGTAATGTGTGTGCATTTCGTTATTTGCTCGATTTCACGAGGAGCTTGGGAGCTGTGTACACAGCAAGGTGAGCCTGCAGCAGCACCCCAGACTTAGAAAGTGGAACCAAACACTCTATTTCATTGTCTTTGAGATACATTTAGTAAAAAATTTCTCAAATTAAATTTTTTTCGTAAAATGTTTGTTGGCCTTATTTTGGTAAAAATAAAATCTATATTCATTTTCCACTGTGCTCTAAGGACGGATTAAAACCTAAAACTAGCTCAGATCAGCTGCCACCACCACTCTTGGCCCCGTGGTGGTGCATTCTTGCAATCCCAGTGTTTGCGAAGTGGAGCCCTGTGTAGTTCAAGGTCATCCGGTTCTCCACTGGGAGGAGTTTGAAGCCAGCCTGGTCTCCTTGAGACTCAGTCTCACAAAATCAAACCCAACAAAACTGACCGGCAAATGATGGCCAATAACCCGTTCCACCGGGGAGTCTTATTGGGTTCACCGTCTTCAGTCCCGTTCCCAAAGCAGGACAACTCCTTTGGGGAAATTTTGGAACAAGGAGAGCACCGGAGACAGGCTGGTCTTTGTGGTCCCCAGACTTCTCGAAGGGTATAAGAGCTTGGGTGCAGCAGACTTCCCGGGTCGCAGCAGCCCAAGCCCGGCTTTCGCAGGCGTGCCTGTCCGGGTTGGGGAGGGGGTGGAGGTGGGGTGTAGGGTGGGGGCGTGTCCTTGGGCCAGACACTCCCCCACCGACCTTAAAACGCGCCAGCCTGCGCCGGACCGGCTGCCGCTCGCGCTCGCGGGGACTGCCACGCTCCGCGCAGTCCCCAGCCCTGCGCCTGCCGCGCCCGCACCCGCGCCGCAGAGCTGCCCATGGCTGACTTGAGCTTCATTGAGGATGCAGTCGCCTTCCCTGAGAAGGAGGAAGACGAGGAAGAGGAGGAGGAGGAGGGCGTGGAGTGGGGTTACGAGGAAGGTAGGCTGGTGAGGCTGCTGTCTCGGCTGCTCCGCCCCACGCGGTCCCGCGCCTGCCCCGCCGAGGCTGCCCGTGTGCGGTTCGCACCTGCTGCGCCCGGGCAACCGCATCTCCCAGCCTGGAGCAACCGAGTTGCTTTCTAGTCTTGGGAAGTATTTCCAAACGTGCTTCAGAAAACGCGTCCTGAATTGGAGGCTGGGTCTTTGCTCTTGGGGACTTTAAAAAGAGTTTCCTAAATCTGTCTCCGCAGACCCAGGGCTCCGAATAGCCATTAGTGCCCATGTTTAGTGTATACACGGAGAAAAGCGCAAAAGAGCCCATATTTATATGTATGGGACACTGTATTTGCATTTTAAACAAGTGGCGCTCATTAGCGTTACGGGTTTTCTGTTGTCTCTGAGCATGTTGGGTTTTGCGGAAATTTCCTAGTACTGCGCATAATTGAACTGATGAGCAGAAGAAATTTCTGTGGCGTCTGTTTCTAGTCACTTAAAGATGGCATACGTTTCCTAGATCCCTACATCAAGGCGTCTGTATGCACAGATATAAACACAGCAGTAAAGGATTTTGTGTGTGATATTTAACAACAGATCACTCACGTAATGGATATAAAAACCTACACATATTTCTCATATGTCATCTATATACAGATAATTGTCACAGTTATGATATCAAGGATTATGAGATTTTCGTGTATATTTTACTGTCATTACCCTTAAAAGACAACCTAGTCTCATTTTGTCTTCAGGTGTTGAGTGGGGCTTAGTGTTTCCTGATGCTAATGGGGAGTACCAGTCGCCTATCAACCTGAACTCCAGAGAAGCCAGATATGACCCCTCGCTACTGGATGTCCGCCTGTCTCCGAATTACGTGGTGTGCCGGGACTGTGAAGTCACCAACGATGGACACACCATTCAAGTCATCCTGAAGTCGAAATCAGGTAATTTGGAACGCATGTTTCTGCACTTTTATAAGCAAGAGGATTTTACTTGTACGGTTTTAAAAGTGACACCAATGCAGTTTCTATTTTCATAGTTCTTTTTAAGTTGGATTTTCTGGGAATTATTTTCTGACACAGTTCTGAAGGGCTAAGAGGGTAAAGTGATCGATATCTCAGCTGACTGTTCTTCCAACGCTGGGCCTGGAGCCGCCTCTGTTGCTTAAACAAACATTTACTGAACTATGAAGAAAGGAGTACATACACAGGCATGCTGATTTGAATCTTTCTGCGGTGCATTTTGTTCTAAATTATTGATTAGCTAAAATCATTTAATTATAATGCTTTAAAAAATAGTTTGTGAGACCAAAGATTGGAATTTATTGATGTCATCTGTGTTTGAGATAAACTTTTCAAATTAAAATTTCCCTTCTCTATTAATGACAAGAATAATCTTAGTGTCGACTGCAGCCAGATATTTAAGTGGCAACTTAGCACTTGCTTTTGTTTATTGTTAGCTCACTCACTCTTCCTGAGCCTCATTAAAATGAATCTGAAATATTTTGCAGAAAATTCAATTTCCAGGAAAATTGCTTTTCAATTTAAATGTAGGAGAGATGAAAGCAGATTTAAAAAACATTAGTATTAAGATTGTGTTTTTCACGGGAAATAATGACTATTTTTCCTCCTGGAGAGAATGGAACATTAATGCATTGAATCTTGATGTGTTTTAGAGACAGATTGTGCTTGCATTAATTCCAAACTGATAAACTGGGTATTTCAAGCCATGAAGCCGTTAGGTCTGTCATTAGGTAAGGAAGATATTTATTCCTTCCTTTACTCATCATGTTTCACACTTTTGATTCGAAATCCATGAGGCAGAGTATGTATTCTTTGCAGCTATTGAGAGTTTAGTCATGGTGGGGACAGCTTCTGAAGGACAGTGTATGTTTTATATGGAGCTAGTAAATACACACACACACACACTCACTCACACACACATACACATGTACACACACACTCACACACACTGTGAATGTAGATTTGTTTTGGAGATGTTTATCTCTGGTCGTTATATATTTTCTCTATATATTCCTCCACCCCTTCCCTCCTCTGACCTCCACTCCTGAGCAGGAGGAACTGCTGTCCACAGTTCTGTCCTGACTTGCAATGCCAGGTCCAGACTTCATTCTCCACTTCTTTGGGGACCTTCCTCCCTCAGGTGCCCAGTCCTTTTCTGTCACTACAGTAATTTCTCCCTTTTAATATTTCAACAAACTTAAAAGTCAGTCAGTCCTGGGGGATGTTGGTGCACACCTTTAATCCAGCACTGCAGAGACAGTGGAAGGTGGTGTCTCTGTGAGTTCTAACCTGATCTACATAGTGAATTTGAGCCATGGCTGCATAGTGAGAGCTTATCTTTAAAAAAAAAAGGCAAGTAACTGAAAAAAAACCTCTTAATTAGTTTATTACTTTTCCTAGGCTACTTCAGCTTCTCTAAGGAATTGTCTTTAAATTCTGAACACCTTTATTTATTTATTTATTTATTGAAGCCTTTTCTTTATCAAATGGATTACAGATATAATTTGAATAGGTGGCTATGTCTACATTGTCTCTACATCTAGCTACAGCCTGTCTCGCCCTACCCACAACTTCCGTGTTTCTCTAGTAACAACTATTTTGAACCTTTAAAAATCTATTTTTTTCTGTTTTTTTTTTGAGATTATAATATGGTTACATCATTTCCCCTTCCCTTTCCTTCCTAACTCTTGCATATTACCCCTTCTTGCTATCTTTCAAACTCATGGTCATTCTTCATTAATTATTAATTGTTTACACACACACACACACACACGCACACACACACACACACATCACCTGCTCAGTCTGTATAATGTTACCTAGATGTTTGTTTTCAGGGCTGAACCTTTTAAAGTTGTTTCCTTTGTCATTACCTCTGTATTTCTTAATAACACGTTTATGCCGTTTGCTCTGATATTTAAGAGCTCTTCAGGCTCCCTGCTGTGGAAGTGAAGGTGAGTCTTACTGCTCTTTCCTGTGCTGGTTTTGCCCCACATACTTAAATTATATTGTTATTAAAAGTAATACTGAAAGCATAATTGCTCTGACCTTGCACCTGCCATTTCTGTCGGAGGCTCTGTTGGGTTTCCTTTATGGAACACTGTTTTCCTTTGGAGCTACTGTATTCTTGTTTATGTATTTTTAACATTACCTAACAGGAACTCACCCCCAGCTCTGACAGATGATAGATCCTGTCTCAGGACAGTCAGTGGCAGACGCCATCCTTTCTTCCTTCTTGTCCTTTCTCTGGCTCCTTGGCGATGCTCCTCCTTCTGTGGACTGCCAATGAAACACTGAAGTTTACAGACCTTTTGATTTTGCTCTCACATTTTTGATTTCTAAAAACTGGTGCTGATTGAATTGATTTTCATTTGAATTTCACCCTTCAGTGTTTTATGACAGTGAGGCCCTTCTTCACCGTTTTCTGTTGCCTTCTCCTTTGTTGTTTATTTTGGGTTCCTTCTCTCTCAGTTCTGTTCTGTCCTTTCCTCTTGGAGTTTCTCCTCAAACACTCAGTGATCTGGCTCTCTGCTGCTACTTCAGATGAGTCTAGATGGGTCTCAAATGCTCAGTTCAGAAAGGCAGAGGCTGAGGTCTGGTCACATGGTCAGTAATGGAGACCGGTGACATGAGTCTGCTAGAGATAGCTTTGGGGGGGGGCTCAGTGTCCTCAAATCTTACCTACTTGCTGTTTCTCCTTTTTTAGGGACACTGGGTAGGTGGCAAGGGAGGGCTGGCCCACATGTAGATGTTTGCATTCTGGTTGTTGTCGACAGCCAAGCGAGTACCACCATATGGTACTCTGTTCCTATCCTCTGTTCATCTGCTAGGCACTGTAAAGGCAGCTGCTGGGCTATGGAGAATGGGGTTCAGAGAGAATAGCTCTTTTTAGGGACTTTCATTTCTTGTTTGAAGTTTTCCCCTTTATGCCTCCACCCTCATCCAGGCATACCCCACACCCCTCCATTCCAAGTCTGTCCTTGTGTCTCTTTCCATTTGGCTGCTATGACAAAATGCTTTAGGGTATGTAACTTATAAATACCAGGAGTTTATGTCTTCCAGTTCTGGAGTCTGGGAAGTCTCAGTCAGGGTGTGTGCAGACATAGCATCTGATGAGAATATGCTCTGCTGCATAGATGGTACCTTCTAGCTGTTGTCCTCAAGTTGCAGAAGGGGGAAGGGGAGCACTCTTCCCATTCTACAGGACAGACCTCTCCTCGCCTAGGCATCTCTAACATGGCCGCACATGGGGCCTGGCTTTAGGATCGGCTGTGTCTGGTGGTAGGCATACCTCCGGGATCACTTCTGCCATAGTAATTTCTGTTTTACTAAATGAGAATTTCAGGCCACTTAGCATCTCTTTTGGTTTCTTTGGGATTTCTCTGCTGCTTTAAATTTTGACCCTTGGCCATTCTGAGCTTACACATTCCCCTCTTGTGTAGTGAGGCCTGAGCAGGCAAGGAAGCACTTCCTATCTAAATGGAGGTGATTCCTGATGACAGTGGATGTCTTTAAATTGAATTTATTTATTTGTTGTTTACCTTATTTATTTAGTTTCGTTTTTGACATAGGAGCTATGTAAGTTATCCAGGGTGGTGTAAAAACCAATGTGTAGCTGGAGATGGTTTTAGTTTCAACAACCTCCTGCCTCCACCCCCAAGTGCTGGGATTATAAACATGACCTACAGTGTTCCACTCACAGGCTTTTAAAAAATGAACTTTTTAAATTATTATTTTTGTTATTAGTGTGTATACATGATGTGTGTGTGTGTGTATGTGTGTGTGTGCGTGTGCGTGTGTGTATTAAGGCTTCATGCTGGGGGGCAGGGGTTCAGAGGACAATTTTATGACTCTATGCCTCCTTACATATTTACATGGAGGTTTTGGGATCAAATTCAAGTTGTCAAGCTACAAAGAAAGTGCTTTTACATCCTGAGCCATTTTGTTGACCCAGAAGTTATCTTTTTTTAAAAAAAGTAAAAAATAGTATCCATAGGGTAAGCACAGTATTCTTTTTTTCTTTTTCTTTCTTTTTTAGGAATTAAAGCTTATATTTTATCACCTGCCGTGTTGAGGTCTTAGTTTCTGTGAGGATGCCAGTGACTGGACACAGTCATTTTTTCCTTCTTTTAAATTGTTTTCTTTTTTTTATTTGTAAAAATAAAACCTCACAAAGAATTATCCCAAATGACCATGCCATTTTTTTATAGTATAATTTCAGTGTTTGTGCTTCATAGACCAAAGCTCGTAGTGGCAGCCTAATGATGCAGTTCCTGTGTATGGTCCCCCCTGGAAACGACGATTTGGGGGCATTTCTTGGACCCACCACCTAGTGTCACCATGCAGCTCTGTGGAGACTTCCTTGGGCTGAGGCCACGGGTGATCTTACCACACGGTCTCCCAAGGGGGAACTGTAAAAACCTTATCATACTCTAACTGCTGGGTTTGAAGTGAGATGTGTGGAAACTGGTCTCAGATGCTGTTACCTGTGGGCTGTTTTAGTTCTGAGTGCTTCTCCCTGCCAGTTCTTCAGACTCAATCATCCTGAGCACACTGGGCTCTCTAGGTTTCTCCTCAGCCCTGCTCACACAAGCAGCGCAATGTTGAGACTGTGTGCTGTTTTGCTTCCTGTTGTGTTTCTGTCATCAGACTGGCCCTACGCTGCATACCCCTGGGCAGGTTGGGACACTTTGCACTTGAGTAGTTAGTTCCCCAAGTCAGATGGTTCTGTGCCCTCCCCAGCATGTCTGTTTTGGAGTTCTGGACCTACTCAGAGCACATGTATCAGGCTTTCCCAGGTATCCTTTGTAACACTGCTGACATTCTATCCGGAAGGTGGAAGGTGGCGTTTTTCCTTTTTGACACGTGTTCCCCCAGGTCCTGATAGCCCCTCGTCTCTCAACAGTTACTGATTATTTACT